CCCCAACCAAGTCACCTCCTAAAGCCACATCATATGGAAACGTGGTTGAACGCAGACTTGCAGCTTGGTGTTCTATACGGAGTCAGCCACTGTGCCCCTTATTGACCCTGAAGTGACCCCCTCCAGCCTCGGTCATGCTGGCCCCTCTCTGACTCATCCATGGTCGGCCATCGGAAGTCAGCATCCTTTACTGTCTTTCTGCTAAGTGCTTAAGGGCTGCAGACACTGACGTGGACAATTATTATTATTATTATTATTATTATTATTATTATTATTATTATTATTATTATTATACATTTTATTTATAAGGCGCCTTTCAAGTCACCCAAGGACACTGTACAGGAAACAGAGTTGGCTGTTACGGTCATGAAGGTGGGGGCGGCATGGTGGTGCGGTGGTTAGCACTGTTGCCTCACACCTCTGATACCAGCGTTCGGGTCGCCACCTTGGCTCCATGTGGGTGGAGTTTGCATGTGCCCTGCAGTGGGTTGTTCCCTGCCTTGTGCCCATAGCCTCCTTGATAGGCTCCAGACCTCCTGCAACCCTGAATAGGATAAGCAGTTACAGAACATAGATGGATGGATGTTATGAAGGTCTTGTGATTGGCTGTTACTGATTTGAGGGTCTTGTGATTGGCTCTTCCCAACCATGTGACACCATTCTATGCAGTACTGGGCCTGTTCTCTCTCTCTCTTCTACAATGCCACCTAAGGCCGTGCGATTGTCATAATTTATAACTTTTGTGTAATTCTCATTCCCTTTCTGATCAAGCATTAATCTTTCTGATTTGTGTGCTTGTTTTCCATACAGTGCACTGGATATACACATTATTATCTTATTAGATTTAAGATCGTTCAAACTCTCATTGACAAAAAAAAGTCAGCTCCTCCCCACTCCAATAAATAACATTTGAACAAACAAAGAAAACAGTATTGCAAAGAAATTAAGTGGTTTAGTTACAAAGAATCTCCCTTTCCCTTTTGTTTGGACACTGTTTCAATTGCTTGACGTTTTATTTAATGAATGTTAGTTTTATGATGTCTGGAAAGCATGGCAAGTATACAGTGTAAGTATATAATGATGTTTTTGCATAAACGAAAATAAAATATCTAAATTTGTTTTTCTTCTGCTAAATTACGCTGCTTAATCAAACGCCTCTGTAGCTGCCAGAATGTCGCGACAGTCGAACATTAGTGGTAAAATGCGAATTTGAATTTGCATTTAATCAGCAAAACTGTTTTGTTTTATTTTGTGATTGATAACATTCACAAGCCAGCTTGGTTTCTAGGGTAAATGCTTAAGAAATATCTATTTGCAATTTACATAAGGGGGTTCAACATCCTGTTTTGCTTCAGTCATAAAGCCTAAATGTTAGGCGTGTGTGTGTGTGTGTGTGTGTGTGTGTGTGTGGGGGGGTCAGGGCAAATTAAAGCCATTCCCACAGAGCTTTCTGTGATACTTGGCTGGTTTTATAGCTTCTTATCGGAGTAACAGCCACTTAAGCGAAGAATCAAACTTGTGATTGCAGGCCATGCTACAGAAAACTGTGAGAAATTACAGCCTAAAGAATATGTAACTGGGAGCCACTTACCTTGTTTCCACCAACACGGTTCTGGGCTGGTTCTCCCTTGGTGCCTTTTGAGAAGCTGGGGTCCAGGGGCCAAATCCAGATCGATCCCAGATGACGAGGTGTTTTTTTTTCCCCCCAGCATTTGCGCACCATGTTTTTGTTTAAGATTTTAGGGGCCGCTGTGTTTTTGCCAAAGTTCAAGAAATTGCTTCATAAGCAGAAGCGCGAGATCGATCTGTGAATATATGAATGAATATACAGGGGATGTAATGAAATATTATAGCTAATCAATAATGCTTCTAATCCACTTATTGAAAAATTGTGCATGAGAAAAATGTGATTTATGGAGCGACGTGGGTCCAGATGGATGTTGTCACTTGTAACTTGTAACAGAGAAGATGATCGTTAGGCTTACTGTGTCACTTTTAAAGTTGTTTTTTTTTCCCCCTTTGTTCCACGGGATGCTGAAAAATCCATATTTTTTTCTTGGTATAACGTTACATGCAAAAAGGAGACAAAAATAGCATGTGCTATTAATAATTTGGATCTTCCATAAAACAAGATGAATTTTCCCAGCAGTGGTTGCGGTTTTCAGGAGGCGTGGTCCTCTTTTGGGATGGCGTCCGGTTCGCTGGTGTGACACTGTTGCGTCACATCCAGGGACAGAGGTTCGAACCCTGTCTCCAATGTGTGTGTGTGTGTGTGTGTGTGGAGTTATACAAACAGTTTATTTAAATACATCCAGTTCTCCCCGTGCGTTGGACTGACATCCCATCCAGGGTGTACCCCTGCAACTCCGTCTCGAATGAGCAGTTAGAAGATGAATAGGCACAGTCGGAACACTGTACAGCCTTCACCTTTGACAGGTTAAATGATTCTGGTGTAGCTTAACTCTTAAAATGAGCTGCTCCCTCTCTGCCATTAATCGCCGTGTGGTACGGAATCATCCGAGACCACGAGGTCCTTCCAAATCCCGGCTCTTCTTTCTGGCCGATAATTTTTAAAGCACTGCCTCATAATTAACATGGGCCGCTGGTTTCGCTTGGTACATTTTTCACCGAGGCTGGCCCAGACCAAGTCAGACTGTGGAATTCCTCTCAAGAAGAGCGGCAGCCATGTTGAGGAGGCAGGGTCCCTGTCTCAGTGTGTGGGAGCCATGGGGAGGGACACATAGCAGTGGCAGGCAGCAGCAGTGCATGATGGGAGATACAGGCCTATGCCTTCAAACAGGATCTCCGTATAGATGGATAGGGACCGACGGGCAGCTGATGGCCTAATAGTTCAGGGCTTGCGAATCTTTTCCAGTTTAAATTACAGAAAACAACCTCTGTCCTTACAGAATTAATGTTATACAACAAAAACACTGTATCTCTGAAAATGTAAAAATAACAAGCTGTGCTAACCACTAATTTTCGCAAGATATTCTGGGCTTGTTCCAGTACTAAAAGACACATTTTCGCAAAATGAATGGTTCGGTTGTATTGCTCTATAAACAGAAATTCACCTCAATGCGCTTGAAATTGGTTAACGGGTACATTCTCCTTAACAGTGACCTGAATCCCGCTTTTTCGGTCCATCACCAGCTCGAGGCCTAATTAGCTATGAGCTGGAACTAAACCCCCCCCAGTAAACAGGCTTGGGAACACTGATGGGGGGGGGGGGGAGTGACTTGTCACACACATCAGCATGTGTCAGTCGTCCCTTTCCGTCATAGCTGCTGACTCGCATGTGTTTGTGTTTTGTCGCCTTGCACAGGAGTCATGAGGGAGGACCGCTGAGCGACGGAGCCCTGAGGAGCCCTGGTCTTCGCCTCCTCCTCCTCCCCCCGTCCCCCCACCCCTTCCCGAAGAAGCTGTGCTAATGTACTATGTACTCCCCCGACCAGGAAAACATCCCCACGGCCTCCACCAAAGCACCAGTGAAGTATGGGGAGCTGATTGTACTGGGGTAAGCAGGTCCCAGGGGCGGAGCTGGGAGAAGCTCCCCCTCCCTTTCCTCGGTTCTCTGTTCACCGGCCCCCCCCTCAGGCTCTCCTGCAATCCAGCTTCAGCTATTATGCATCAGCTTTCTCGAGAGGACAGTTTGCAGGCATGTCCTGACAGGCCCTGGGTTACAGCTTATGGTGACTCATTCTTAAAAATGCATTTTTTTTTATTAATTTCTTTTTACTTTTTTACATTTCTTGAACCTGATGTCTAACTCCGCGTTTCTGCCAGCGGCGCCATAAATATGTAATTTTTCTGTGTCAGTTTCATGAGATCTTATCTCTGCAGTGCCAGTAATGTTTTGAGAATCAGAACATTTGTTGTATCGGCTGTGATTTTTCTTCCCTTTTTATGGTGCCTGACTCTGCCGTCAGGTCCAAACAATGGCTTGTTGTTGTTGTGTCCTGAAAAGAATGCTGCTTTGCGGGGAGGGTGAATGTGGCGTGGGGGGCCACAGGATAGCTGCCAAGCCCTAGTCGCGGCGGTGATTTAATATGTAGCGTCATATTTTATTCATGAGATATTTGGCCGCAAAACTAAAATCATCTGGGCCTGAGCGAGAAGGGGCCCCGCCCTTGTGTGGCTCGGAGCCGCGACTCGAAGTTTTCGAGGGAGCTTCGGATCTCGGTGAGGGCTAACTGCCTTTGGGGCCCGGGATGGCTCGTTGTTTGCCATCATGTGATTGTTTTTTTTTTTGGGGGGGGGGGGGTTTCGTGAACCAATGAGGACACCTGTGAGTTGCTGTGAAGTAGCAAGGGGGTCTGTGACGTGGGAAAGGTAGAGATCAACCCCACCAGGTCAGGAGAGAACCCAAAGTTAGGCGTAACGGCTGAAGACGTCATCTTGATTTATTGGTAGAACTTAAGACATCAGATTTGATTATAAAATGATTAGGCTCAGTGGGATTCCATTATATTCCATTAAACATCCATTAAATTTAAGAGTCTGAGTCCCAGGGGGGGGTGGGTGTATCTGGAGGCCAAGGAGGTACCAGAGAACAGGGCGGGTACAAGTTTGTCATCTCCTGGGCCTGAGGTTCCACAGTCACTCCCCAAATTTCTCCCCAAACCTGTGAAACCAGGGTGCTGTGGAAATGGGGGGGGGGGGGAGGGGGGCTTATTGGTTAGTCTGGGCAGAATGGGCCATGGGGATGTTGTTTACTTGCAGGGTTGTTGGGTTATTATTGGGTGTGTGCCTGTGCTGTTGACTGCTAGTGGTAAAAATGCACACTTTCTGGTTTGGAATGGGGCAGCTGCAGGCCTGCTTAGAATCGGGCAGCTGCAGGCCTGCTTAGAAGGAGCTTCGGCTGTAAACAATGACGTCGTCGTGATGTTAGGCTGATCTTCTAAATGATGCTAGCTGACGCTAAACCCTTTAGCTTTACACTTTTGGTTTTAAGTCCACTTTCACATAACTAGATATAGGATGATGCAATGCTCCGGTAACGCCGTCACCTCAGAGCCATGAGGTCACGGGTTCGAATCTGGCATCCGGCTCTGTTCAGCAAGTTTTTGGGGGCTTGCATGTTCTCCTCACGCCCCCGTGTAGCATCATTTCCTATGATGACTGAAGGCTTCTCGCCGTGACTCTGTGCCCATGCCACCCGCAGGTACAATGGCTCACTGCCCAACGGGGACCGTGGGAGGCGCAAGAGCCGCTTTGCCCTGTTCAGGAGGCCCAAGGCCAACGGGGTGAAGCCCAGTACGGTGCACGTCGCCTGCACACCACAGGCGGCCAAGGTGAGGGCGCAGCGTAGCCGGCGGCGAGCCCTCCCACATTACCTCACAGGCTCCGCCCCCTCTGACACTCCCCTCCCCCCCCCCAGGCCATAAGCAACAAGGACCAGCACAGCATCTCCTTCACCTTGTCCCGCGCCCAGACCGTGGTGGTGGAGTACACGCATGACAGCAGTGTGGACATGTTCCAGGTGAAGATCACCTCCATCCGTCAATGGCTACCTAGTTCTCTGCTGGCTCTGCCTGTAACCTTTCACCCTGACCATCCTGGCTGGCCTAGTTAGGACTAATATCATCCACCTCTGCAGCTCTTTACAATCCCTGAAATAAAACAATACTAGTTATGGTACTAGTATTAGTCACTAGACTCCATATCCAATAAAAAAAAAAACACTAGAAACTCAGTTTGGCTATTTTTGTAGCTTAAGAGTCCCCTGTCACCTTCTGATCGTGCACGTGTTTTTATACGGTGTTTCTCAACATGCGTACTCGACCGTACTTGTGTTCTCGTGTCCCCGTTTTATGTCATCTTCCTTTGCCGAAGACCAGTTCCGATACTAAGAACAGAAGTATAGAGGACTGTCGAAATCCCCAGATGTCGTTCTTGCCCCACTCCAGATATCAAGGATACATCAGTTGCATCCTCGCCGAATGAGACCGATCCCGTGATTCATTGCACCCCAAGTTTGTTCTTGCCTAGACCACAAGTACGGTCTTTGCGTCCTTGGCATTGAGAAACAGCCCTAGTCAGCTTCATGCTTCCTTTCTGATGCTTTTTGATGACATCACTTTGATGTGTCAACCTGATAATTTAATGTACTTTACCAGCGCAGTTACCCTGATCCTTGACACCCCCCCCCTGGGTCCACAGGTGGGCCGTTCCACGGAGAGCCCCATCGACTTTGTGGTGATGGACACAGTGCCTGGAAGTCCGGCCGGCGGGGGCAGCTGTGAGGGAGGTGACCTACAGACCGTCCAGAGCACCATCTCGCGCTTCGCCTGCCGCATCATGTGCCAGCGGAGCCCCCCCCACACCGCGCGCATCTACGCCGCCGGCTTTGACTCGTCAAAGAACATCTTCCTGGGGGTGAGCGCCTTGAAATGGTGGGCGGGGCCTGCAGGACATGTGACCTAAAACGATCTCGCCATAGTAATTCTGCTGTGCCTTTGCCTACTTGATGTGGTTTCATAACTTAAATAGAAGCTTATCTTCAGCTAAGCTGCCCAATTCCATTTTTCACGGGTCTCAAAGTCGACATTTGCATGTGAAGGTAGAGCCATCAGGCTCTTTGTCTTATTCAAGCTCGATCCGATTCCTTCAGCCCAACTAGGCTAATTGGCACTTACTCGTAAATACTGAAGGCCCGGAAATACCCGAACCTCAATAGTGCTGATTGAGTAATTAAGAGGCATGCTGGGATGGGGGGGGG